GGATGGATGGATGGATGGATGGATGGATGGATGGATGGATGGATGGATGGATGGATGGATGGGTGGATGGATAGGTGGATGGATGGGTGGGTGGATGGATGGGTGAGTGGATGGATGGATGGATGGATGGACTGATGGATGGTTGTTTTCCCAGCTGATGTCCTGTCTTGCACACAAGTGCCTCTACCAAAGTTTCAGCCCACTGTCCCAAGACCCTTCTTGACTGTTTTCTGTATCTGTCTTTGGTTGTCTCAGACACTTCGGCACTGACTCACTCATCTGTGACTGTCATCTGAGGTGGGTCTCGGAATGGGCCAAAAACGCATCAGTGAGACTAGCAGAGGAGACTACGTGTGCTTACCCTGTAGTGCTGCGAGGTCGGCCCCTGCGCAGCCTTCGAGAAGACCAGCTGACATGTGGTGAGTTGGCAGCTGAATTCAGTAAAGAAAAACCTGAAATGATTCAATAGTTGGACCACCTGGTACATTTCCACACAGCTTGGACAAGCTACACAGGGAAGCTTTCCATAAAACTGTTTCTTCCTTGCCGGGCATCATGTTGCCTGAGGCAGCCACAGGTGACCTTGGTATCGCAGGCAGGAAATCGTGGTTGTCATGGTTGGTTCTGGGCCCGTCCCCCAGTGACTGTCCATCACCCATCATCCTGAAGTTGGGACTGCCTAGAAGGAAGTTCAGGTGGGAGTATTTCTTAGGATGGAGCCTTGACAGTGCTTGTGAATGTCAGCACACACTGAGTGTCCATCCATCACCTTTATGAAGCCATGCATCTGGCTGAGCCACTGTAAAGAAAGTGGCAGAATTGGGCAGGGCGGGCGGGGGGAAGGGGCATGCTCCGGGGGTTGTTGGGCCAGAAGCAAGCTATATTTTCTACCATCCAGGCAGAAATAGCTCCGTAGAGCCAAGTGCACTAAGCCTGTCAGGAACTTATTCAGCTCAGTGTAATGGCCATTCCACCAGCTTGGGGTGGTCAGCCCTCGGGGCAGGCCTCAATGGTCTATGTTGGCCTCAGTGGAGGCTGCCCTCCTGCCACCCGCACAGACCAGACCTTGGTGGAGGGTCGACAGGGGCCAACAAGCATTTATTAAGTGCCCATTATGGGCCAGGCACTGGGCTAGGTGCTGGGGATACAAGGATGAGGAGAAGGGAGGCCCTGTTCTCAAGGAGCATCCTTTCTAGAGAGGAACATCAGTTATACCAGGAAGCTGAGGAAGGAGCTGGGTGGAAGAAGGCAGCTGGCTGGGGGCATAGTCTTGTTGCCCCGGGCAGTGGAGGTTCTGGGTGGGGCCCTTCTCCCTGCATTCAGAGGGAGGGGCCAGTCCCAGAGCCAGATTGCTGTTCATCCTCCTACACATCCTGGACTACCTTCCCCAGCCCCCGCAGAGGCTTTCCTTCTGAAGATACAGCTCTCTCCCTCCAGAGAGCAATCCTTCTGGGAGCCTGGGGCCTCGACTGACCATCCTGTGCTTACAGATGTGGACACTGACTGATGGGAGACCAACCCTGGGCCAGAGATGCTAGCTCTGTCTCCTGTGCTCAAACAGGGATTTCTTTCCTCAGAAAAGCGTCTAGGACGCCGCCGAGATGTCCTAGGCCAGACATGATCTCCTCCGTGCAGAGAATCCCAGGGGGTGGAGGTGGGATGCTTGGTTCAGAATCTGAGTGACCTTCAAGGCCATCCAGGAGACTGAGGCCCAGGGAGGAGCAGTGCTCGGTGAGAGAGCTGCTCCGTGCAGCCCTGTCCTCCTAACTCTGCCTGGCCCTTTGTGTGGTTGTGGCATCGGGGTGCTCAGTCGCCCACCTCCTGGGTGGGCAGCTGCGGTCATGCTGGCTAGGGCATGGAGGGCGGGCAGCAGAGGGAGAGTCAGGGCTGATTTGTGGCCTCAGCCTGGGAGGCCCTTCCTACTCTCCTCGCCCTTGCTATGGGTTTTGCCGATGGGCTGCACACATCTGATGGCTCCGTCCCAGCTTTCCTTGCCTGTGGGTGCCTCCAGAAGAACAGCAAGTTCTGGGATGGGCACATGAAATAGGCAGCTCTCTGGGGAGCCCTAGAAGCCTCCTCTGCAGAGAATGAGCCATGTTATTGCTCCTGCTAATGAAATATTCACCAAGGAGCCAGAAAGGGGAATATTTCTCTGGTTAATTAAAGTGCTGTGTCTTTGGGAGCTGTGGTGCGCCGCCCTTGTGGTCCTGGCCTCGAGGTTGGAGGGGATGTGGGCTGGGCAGAAGTGACCAGTCGTCACACTGTGCATAGAGGGCCCATCTCTCCACAGGCAGACGAAGTGGCCCTGCCCCTGAGGAGCCGAGCTGCTGCCATTGCACCAGGCTCTTTTTCTGTTGGCCTGTTGTCAACAAAACGCAGGGGAGATGGAGGTCTGGTTCTTATGGTGGGATCTGTCTTCTTGAGGCTGTTATGAGGAAGGGGAGTATGAAAAGGGAAATATCCCACCTTCCAGCATGGTGCTGTAACATTTCCTCTGAGCTCCCTGCCCCAACCCCCACCCACGTGGTGGGCTACCTACACATCCCTCTTCAGGATTCCGGGGGCAACCTCGAGGAGTTGTGGTTTCTGCTATGTCTGCTCACAAGTCCCCATCTGGTACATGCCCCGATCCATCATCCACTTGACCAATTATTAGTTTTTATGAATGGATATTTACTGATTAGATGTAGGGAGGAAAGACGTTCCCGAAATCCTCCTGCAAAACTTGTGGTGCACTTCCCCTCGCTTACATACATTTTCTGAAAAGAATGAGCTCAAGTTTAAAGTTGCTCACATTGTTCGACTGCAAAATGTCGGCTTGCCAAAAGGACAACTTTATGGAGAACTCATACAAGGCAAGCACTCACATGGTGGTCTGAAGAAGCAATACAAGGACACTTTCAAGGTCTCTCCAAAGAACTTTGGAATTGATTGTGAGACACGGGAGACACTGGCACAGGCCTGCCCGGCATGGCGTGCCCTCATCAGAGAAGGGGCTGTGCTCTGTGAACCAAGGAGAATGGAAGTAGCTCAGGAGAAAGGAGGGATGTGCAGATTTAGAGAGTCCACCCCAAAAGGTCACATAGACTCTGTGCCCGACCTGTGGTGGAATTCCTACGGGCCTGCTCAGCCACAGTCGACTTGACTAGCACAGGGATGCCGTTTTGGTCCTCTTCGAGAAGGAAGGACAACCAGATTGGCTTGTCTGCTTGACACAAAGAGCTGCCTAAATATGTGTGCACATATAGGGCCTTTTCCTCTTTCTTTGATTTCTTTGGTGCAGAGGCCTAGTAGTGCGTGCTTTCCAGAATGGCTCTGCCAAGAGTGGGGACATTTCTCCAAGGCTGTTATCAGCTCCAGGGGTCTCTGCCACCCCCTCCAGCTGTGCATGAGACCTTGCTGCCATGAACCTTCCTATCTTTGGAAGCTTACAGGGTCAAAACCTGGTCAATGCTATCTTTGGATGCTCATTCCCCAAAGTGCAAGAAAGTAAACCAGAGGAAAATGAGGCATGTGCTCAGGGACACATGGCATCCAGGTGGAGGGAGAGGAGGGGCCCCTCCAGGCCTCAGGGTGGCTCCTCCCTCAATCTCCCCCATGCAGAAGCAGAGCCAAGAGAGTCCCAGGGATCCTTTTGTGCTGGCCCCAAAGGTTGTTGGAGCCACCCCATGGCAGGGGTTCCGGATCACTATGGCTAGACCTGACTTTGAGAGTTCACCATGGAGTCTTGGCAGTAGATTGGGCCACATTGGCCAAGCTCCTCATTATATGGGCCTTCCTTTTTTTGTCAATGAAGTGGCTAGGGACAGCATGCTGGAGCCAAAGGAGGCTTTGCTTTCTCCTGGGTTTGGCCTGGTCAAAGGCCCAGGCTTTCTGGCCCCTGTGGCCAGGCTGTCTCCCCCAGGCCCATGTGCCATTCTCCCCATGGTCAGGCTCTCTCCGTCAGCCTCACTCAGCACCGCCCCCCCAGTATCTCTCCTCCAGGCTCACTCCTCTCCCCCATGGTCAGGCTTTCTCCCCCAGCCTCACTTGTCTACCCCCACAGTGGTCAGGTTCTTCCCCCACCAGGCTCACTGGACCCCTGTGGCCAGGCTCTCTCCCCCAGGCCTATTGGACCCCCTCCCCTTGACCAGGCTCTCTCCACAGTGGCACTTTCCCTGGTGCTGCTGAATCTATCAGGCCCCGGGGCTAAGTCCATCCAGTTTTCTGCCTATACCAGCCAGGAGAAAATGCTGTGTCAGAAGTGACTGTTACTTTTCCAGAGCAGAGCTGGGTTTGGCCCAACCACTTGGCTGCTGGCCCTCATCTGTCTGTCTTTCTCTGCCCCTATTCCTGCAGCTGTGACCCAGACACCAAGGTCTGCTCTAGGCCCATCTCCCTGCCATAAGGGCTGGTGTTCATGCCAGCTCTGATTCGAGTGTCTTTCCGCCAGCCATCACAGACTCAGGAAGGCCACGTCAGCCATTTCATGAGAAATAGGAACAAAATAGTGAGTGAGCAGAAGGTGCATGAGCTGTCCAGGAGGTGCCTTGGGTAGGAACTGGGCATTGGGCAGTGTGCAGCTATTAAGCACCTGCTGCATACGGAGCTCTGTGAAGGACACACATATTTTTAAAACAAACATGGTCCTCACCCCCGAGATAACTACCATTTATTGGGGGAGGGGGATGAGGCACCAAGGCAGAGCTCTGGCAGGGACCTACCAAGTAAATTCAAACCCAAACACCCTAAGGATTGGCTGAGACCTCAGCAGTGGGATCGGGATCCTGGACTCAGGCCAGCAGGCTCCCAGGCGCCATTTAAGTGAGGGCCACGGAGAGTAACTGACTCGAGTCTCCTAGGTGAAATCCTAAGGCAGGGCCCAAGACCCCCCAATGGCCCACATGACCTTCCTTAATCCTCCCCTTTACCAATCAAAAGGGCATGAGGCGGTGTTTCCTAGTCAAGGTCATCTGTTCTCTATTCTGGCCAACAGCCACCCAGAGCTTTCTGTGTCTTCTTTCAAAGGCTTTGGTCCATACACTTTGGCCTCCTCTCCATGAGGGGATGGGCCTAGTTACTTTATATCAGCATCATTTCCCCACATACTTTGGACATCAGACCACCAGAGACATTTGCTGCAAGGATTGTTTCAGATTAACTATTTCTCTTATTCTAGCAGCTTTGACTTTGTTTTTGCAAAGGTTTTCAATTTTGCAGAATTGAAATGATCAAATGTATCTTTTGACATAGTGGACAGAGGGCTGGGCACAGAGTCAGAAGACCCAGCCCCCAGTCCCATCCCTAACATGTGACCACTGTGTGGGCCCGGGCAAGCTGTGAACTTCTCGGGTCTCTGACATAGGTGTCCACCGGGTCAGCTCCCCCTTGTGGTTCAGACCACAGCTCACTGGCGAATGCTTAACAAAATAGATAACAAGGCGATACAACGTAGACAGTGTTCATTTGTTGTCACTATGTGGCTGCCAAGATTAACACCATTGGCCAAGGCCACGCTTTAAGACTGAAGTGTAGGTTATGTCTGAACTGGTGGAGGGGAGCTCTGCCCTGCCCTGTCCCAGTCAACTCTGTCTCTGTTGGGTCAAAATCTCTTCTCCTTGGCAGAGTTGTACCAGAGACCTCCTTCAGTTCTCCTTGTCCTCCTTCTCCCTCTGTCTCTCTTGCTCTCTCTCTCTCTCTCCCCTCCCTCCCCCACCTCTCTCTGTCTCTGTCTGTCTCTCTCTTTTGTGTCTCTTTCTCCGTCTCTCTGCCTCAGCCTCTCTCTTGATGATGTAACCCTTCATATTCAGTCCCCATATTCAGTTTTAGTGTCTTGCTATGCCCATAGTCAGATGTTGCTCTAACCTTAATTTCTTCTGATGGCCTTTTAGATTTTTCTACAGCCTTTGTTGAAAAAGGGATCCTTCTTCTGATGTTGGTGCCCTCCGTCTGTCAGATACCAGGCTACAGTTTGAGCTTGTTGAGGCTTCACCTACCTGGTCTGTTGCCAGGACTGACGTTTCTATCTTTAATTACTGTGAAATAATTTCAACGTGCTTTGCTTTGTTAGCCCACTGTGAGTGGCCCAGTGATTGTGTCTCTGGCGCTTTGTTATTTTCAGACAAGTAAAGAAAATGGGTTGACATTCCTGGGCCCATGACCATCAGCTTCCCCAAGTCTGCTGTTGCTCTCCTCAGCACAGAGTGAAGAATGGCTGCTAGGACACAGCCAGGAGCTCCAGGGGCTGCCCAGGCCCAGGCCCGCCAGGGTCATCCTGCCCAATGTTACAGATGAGGTTGAGGGGAGCTGAGGAGCCCATGGCAGGTGGGCTGGTGGGCTGGCTTGGGGTGCCCAGAGTCAAGGATGCCTGGCTGTCCTCAAGCCTGGGGGGCCAAAGTGACCAGCAAAGACAGAAAGACGCCAAGCCAGACCCTGCCCATGACCACTTTACCAGGAGTGAACAGGTCTGATGGGCTCATCCTTGGCCCTCCTCCATCCCCCAGGGCTGGCCCTCAGTCGCAGCCTCCTCCTCCTAGGAGGCTCCTGCTTTTAGCCTGTCCAGCAGAGCTGCATATCTGGTAATTATTTAATCAATGAAGATTTTAGAGAGGTGCCTGGAGATAATTGTTTGCAATCAGATCATGCTGTGGAGAGAATAGGGAGGAGCTAAAAATAGCAGAATCTGCAGTTCCAGAGGGGCTCCACAGCCCACAGAACTCAGGCAGAGGAGGGAGGGGGCTCAGGTGCCCTCTTCCTTCCTTCTCCTCTCCAGGGTCAGACACCCACCCGAAGCCAGCTGAAGCCTGGAGCTCCTAATGCCCTCTCCCCACATCCTCTAGCAGCCTCACCCAGATCATGCCCATGGCATCTCTCTGGATGGAAAAAGCTGCCTCTGTCCCTGAGGAGCTGGTACAAGCTTTGGCCTAGTTCCCCTAGCCCCAGGCATTAAGAACCCCGTGAGTTCCCAGGGCTCTGAGACATCACTGTAATTAGCCATGAGCCTGGCACCATGGTCTCCTGCCACAGCTGTGCATGCCACCATGGATTCTGAACCAAGCAGATATGACATTGTTGGGCTGAGGCATCATGGGTCAGATATCTTTCAGCCCTGATCAAAGTGGCCAGCAGGTGTGGGGCTTATGGGTTGGCTACAATTCCCAAAGTTAGACAGCGTCTTTGACCTGCTTCTTTTCTGAAGCTCAAGGGTTCTCCAGGTCAAGGGACAGCATGGGCAGAGCAGAGTGATGACACTTGCTGCCTAGAGATGCATCTTGGTGCCAGGGTATCCCATTGGATCCAGAGGCCCACCCAAAGATGGAGTTGGGGCTTTATACTCCCCCAGGCCTCTATGAACACTTGAATTGGGCACAGACCCTGAAGGAAGGTCCTCATCTCAGTGGTCATCCCTGTACAGGACCCTGTGGATATTTGGGGGTGATAGGGTGGAGGATTGACAGGGCCCTCTGGTCCACTTCTCATGTACTATAATGGGTGGGGTGTGGATTATACTTTTAAGGGTATGAATCCACAGAGTTGTTTGAACCAAGGTAACCATCCCCTTGGGACCCAACCTGTGAGTGAACCAGAGGGAGCTGGTCACTCAGCTGGGCTCCCTGAGGCTGCCCCACTCCCTATGACCACCCCAACTCTCTTCAGTGGCCACATTCATCAGGGTGCCCTCTGTTCTGACTAATTGTTCCTACTCCCTGCTGGGTATGGTATCTCTGAGGGGCAAGAGATTCTGCTGGCTAATGAGAGATGATAAGTTATGCCCACTCAGAGACATAGCTCTCTCTCTCTCTCTCTCTCTCTCTCTCTCTCTCTCTCTCTCTCTCTCTCTCTCTCTCTCTCTCTGTCTCTCTCTCTCTCTTTCTCTTTCTCTCTCTTCCAGGTCATCTGAAGTCACAGCCTCAACTCTTCTCTACTTTGGCCTTGTCCCCTGAGGAGTGTGTTTCACCCCCCCACCCCCAGTTTTTAAATATTTTCATTTAAGGTTTTGAGTTCCAAAGTCTGTCCCTCCCTCCCTGAGATGGTAAGCAATCAGATATAGGTTATGTACATACAGTTATGTAAGACATTTCCATGTTAATCATTTTGTACAAGAAAACTTAAATAAAAGAAAAAAAAGAAAGTGAAAACTAACCTGCTTCAGTCCGTATTCAATCAATATCAGTTCTTTCTCTGGATCGTCTTGGATCATTGTATCACTGAGAACAGCTAAGTCAATCACAGCTGACCATTGCTACAATGGTGCTGTTGCTGTGTACAGTATTCTCCTGGTTCTGTTCACTTCACTGTGCATCAGTGCATGGAAGTCTTTCCAGGTTTTTCTGAGATCATCCTGTTTGTCATTTCTTATAGTGCAATAATATTCCATTATAATCATAGACCACCACTTGTTCAGCCACTCTCCATTTGGTGGCTTCTCACTTTTTAAAGCACTTCCACAGGTGTGGCTGATCCTCCGGTGGACAATCACTGCTGACTTTCTCTAATCCACCAGTTTTTCCACAGAATTTCTTTCTACAATATAAAGGCGTATCCAGTTGCAGGTTCTTCACTTACCTGTTCTTAGTTGGGCGGGACAGGGGGATCCATCCGTCAGAAATGTTCTGATCCATCTCTGGCCCCCTTCCCTCCCTTCCTCTCCCACACACTTGGACCTTCAGAAGTTCAGCTTATTTCATTGACAAGACAGTTTTTCCATAGCCGACAATCCAGATAAGTGACCATCCCATCATCTCTCCACAGCTGGACCACTGGAGCTGCCGCTCTTTCAGCTGATTCCATCACAGAGCCAAGTGGTCTTCCATGGGGACCGCTTGCCATTCCAATGTACTGCCACCCTGGTGGACAACACAACGCAGGCTCATTGGTACCACAATGGGCAATTGATTGAAACGGATGAAGCCCAGGGCATGTTCGTGAAGGAGAGCGTCATCCATGACTGCAGCCTGATCACCCGGTAAGGCCAGCAGCCAGGGGTCTGGGGGCATCCTCAAAGCCCTCTCTGCAGCAGACAAAGTCAAGGGAGTGACTATTTTGCCCATAAAGTGTGATGGGCCGATGTTGGCTTCTTGTAAGGTCATGAGATGGTGAGATATGATTGTACAGGGAGCAAGTAGTTTCTAATTCTTGTTCCTTTGGGTCATAGTGGCCTTGAGTGGGACCCGCATCTATAGTAACAAAATGCTACCACACAGACTGGGGGCTCAATCCAGCCTCAAGTCATATTCTGGAATACTTAGTAATAGATGGCACGTATTTGTTAACATGATGTCAAAGTCTTCCCTAGGGGATTTGGTGCCACACTCCCCCCACACCAGCATTAAAGCAGGGTGCTCCTGCACCTGGCACCTGCCAGGAATGCCACCTGCATTCCTATAGCTATTCCAGAGATCAGAGTTCACTTAAATAGTAATCTGTACATTCAGGTATTGTCCCCACCCTTGGACACTGCAGCAAATTATAAAGCCCTGTGTTCAACATGCCTGACTCTGCCCGTGTTTAGGGTGGAATGAGATGTTTGCAAACCTGGGCAAAGGAAAAGCAATGAGGACTCCCTGTTTCGGAGTTTGATTCTGGGGCAGCTGGCACCAGACAATCTGGAGACCAAAGAATGCAGAGAAGCTTCATTGACTCCAAGCACTCTCTCATATATTTTATGCTCATTTTCCTTCTTACAAACGAGCAATTCTTAGCTGGAATACTCACCCCTTTTCTAGGCCTCCTAGGCATTCTTGCTGGCATCCCAAATAATTTGTGAATAAAAACTTTCTAAAGATTATTTTCTGGGATCCCTGTGCCTAAGAGAAGGGAGCCCCTTCATTTTCGATTTATTTAATTTTCTAAATTATATCTTTAAGTGAGCAATTAATGAGCTTCAAAGTTCTTGCTTTATGTGAAAGAAGAAATTTGCAGCCACACAGATGAAAGTCTCCTGTGACTATTTTGTTCCCAGCGTCCCTTTGGATGGGGTGCCCCTTATGACATTTATTTCCATCAGGTGGAATGCATAGAGGTGCCTGATGCCTGAGCCTGTTCATTCACCAGCCCCAGTTGGAGTCCAGACACGAATGGCTGGTAGCCAAGAGTCCCACCGCTATTAGTCTGGTGGTGCCCCTGGCACCAGTGCCAATGTACTGATTTAGAGTTTTCTTGAAAGGACAAGAAAAAACCGCACAAAAATCTGCTCTTCTTGTGGAGCTCTCTTCCCTAACACATTAAAATTCAGAGGCTGCAGAATTAATGTTACATGAGCAGGTTTTTACCACATTAAACAACATTATCTTGTGATTGTAAAATCAAATTCGTGTGTGTGTGTGTGTGTGTGTGTGTGTGTGTGTGTGTGTGTGTGTGTGTGTGTCTGGGGAGAGGAGCAATGTTACATGCAGCTTCTTTTGCTGAAGCTACATTTGGACAGTGTAGAGTCTAATCTGTACCTTTAGTTTCCCTCCTCAAGGCTTGTGAACAAATAAAAATTCCTCTTTCCCTGTTCTAAACATAAGGCTGGCTGCTTTGTGCTGGCCATCTGCTCCATTCCATAGGGCACGTTGCCATGATACTGTCCAGGAAGACCTGCCCATGAGGTCAGTGATAACTGAGGCTTCTCACACTTCAGGTTTCTTCCCTCTGGGTTCCTGATGGAAGATTCTCCATCTCCTCTGGGCCCTGGGAGTGAGGATGGGGAGGTGGTGGAGAGGGGTTGCAAGCCCCTCTTTCACAAAGAGTGCCCAGCTCAGGGCTAATGTGTACCAGTTTCAGTCCTCCCTTAGCCTGACCTCTAAAAAAGGTCAAGCTTCTTCAGCACCCCCAAACCCCCAGGGGAAAGCATTTCAATCTCAAGTTTGGCTCATGTTCAGCATCTTATCACAGAGTACTGGGTTTATATTTAAGAAGAACTGGGTTCAAATAATACTTCTGATACTTAGCAGGTGTATTACACTGAGTAAGATAATTCCCCTCTCTACACCTCAGCTTCCTCATTGATGACCTCTGTGCTCCCTCTATCCCTAAATCTGTGACCCTATGTTATGATGATGCTACAGTTAAAAGGGTGCTCCGTGCACAACATAGACCAGATATGTTCTTGTTGTTCAGTCATTTCAGGTATGTCTGACTCTTTGTGGCTGTATTTGGGGTTTTCTTGGCAGAGATGCTGGAGTGGTTTGCTACTTCCTTCTTCAGCCCATTTTACAGATGAGGAAACCGAGACAAATGGGGTTAAATGACTTGCCCAGAGTCACACAGCTAGTAAGCTTCCTGAACTTGGGAAGATGAGTCTTTCTTTTTTTAATTTTTTTTTAACATTTTAATTTAAAGTTTTGAGTTCCAAATTCTCTCCCTCCCTCCCTTTCTCCCTTCCCCCATCCCTGAGATAGTAAGCAATCAGGTATAGGTTATACATGTGCAGTTGTGTAAGACATTTCCATATTAGTCATTTTGTAGAAGACAACTTGAATAAAAGAAAAAAATGAAAGAAAGAAAGTGAAAAACAGCATGTCTCAGACTGTATTCAAACAATACCAGTTCTTTCTCTAGAGGTAGGTAGTCTGCTTCATCATGAGTTCTTTGGGTTTGTCTTGGATCATGATATTGCTGAAGATAGCTGAGTTGTTCATAGTTTTTCATTGTACAATATTGCTGTTACTGTGTACAATGCTCTGTGCACTTCACTTTGCATCAGTTCATGTAAGTCTTTCCAGGTTTATTTGAAATGATTCTACTTGTCATTCCTTACAATACAATAACATTCCATTACAGTCATAGACCACAGCTGATTAAGCCATTCTCAAATTGATGGGCATCCCTTTGATTTCCAATTCTTAGCCACCATAAAAAGAGCTGCTATAAATATGTTTGTACAAATATGTCCTTTCCCCCTATTTTGGATGTCTTCGGGATACAGACCTAGCAGTGGTATTGTTGGATCAAAGGGTATGCACAATTTTACAGCCCTTTGGGCATAGTTCCAAATTGTTCTCCAGAATAGTTGGATTAGTTCACAACTCCATCAACAATGCATTAGTGTCCCAGTTTTCCCACATTCCCTCCAACATCTAACATTTTCCTTTTTTGTCATATTAGCCAATCTGATGTGTGAAATGGTACCCCAGAGTTGTTTGAATTTGCATTTCTCTAATCAATAGTTATTTAGAGTTTTTTTCATATGTGTATAGGTAGCTTTGATTTATTTGTCTGAAAACTGCCTGTTCATATCCTTTGATCATTTATCAATTGAGGAATGACGTGCACTTTTAGAAATTTGACTCAATTCTCTATATATTTGAGAAGATGAGTCTTTCTAACTCCAGACCTGGCACTCTATGCACTGTGTCACCTAGCTGCCCACCAGGTATAGGAAAGCTATTTATTTCCTCCACAAAAAGGAATTCTTAAAAGCAAAAAACTCATAAACATGCAAATACAATGACTTAAAATAAGAAACAGTAACTCATAACTCCTACTCTGCTCTCCCAGGAAACTGATACTTGAAAACTCAAAATACAGCCACACAGTTTTCAGGACTCCTGGACAGCCACCTCATCTTCATCTCAATTCTGAACTATCTGAATTACTCCTTCAAGTCTCATGTCTTCTGGCAACCAGGGCACAATTTGGGATCATTCTCCCATTGCTGGTCTTTTTTCCCAGAAAAGTTTAGTTGTAGAAATCTTTTCCTGCTGACAGCCCACTTTGGTTGGGGATTCCAGGAACTTCCAAATTCCCAAGGCAGTCACTCCCCAAAAGCCCGTCTCTTCTCACCAATAACTCTGGGAAAGAAACATTAGGTGAGAGAGGCAGGCGGGGCCTTGAAATCTGGTCTGGGCTCACTGAAGGGCACACACCTGCTCTCACTACACAGAAGCTGGAGATAGGAGGGGGCTGAAGAGACAGACAGGCTTCTGTCCCAATCATAGGAAGCCCAAAAGAAAGACTCTGAAGGGGGAGAAGGAGGGTAGCCCCTCCTTTTAAGTTCTCCTGAGTGAACCATTCTTCCTAGCTTAGGGAGGGAGTCAGTTCCCTTTCCTTGTTGTCCTCATAAAGACCAAGGGACTGTTGTATCATCCACATGTACTTCAGTGCTAAGAATATATGTCCCCGGCAGTGGCCAAGGGAACTCAGCCCAACTCCATGCATGCTCCATGGTGTACTCCTGCCTGAGCAGATGGGGGCAGTGAGGAGCTAAGGGAGGAGAACAGACCTGGTGGCCTCCCCCCCACAACCCTATTGCATTGGACTGTGTTGTGGATTCACAGGTATTTGTCTCTAGGTAACACAGGTGAGCTGGGGAGCCAGACTTTATGAATTACCACCACAATCTCTTTGGCCAGGGAAAAGACTCTGATAGCATTTCTAGCCATTGTGACCCTCTTGCCAGTTAACATTGTTAGACCTTTACTGTCAATCAGCTGAACAAAACCATTTATTGTGTAAATTAATGGTGCCTCAGTTGGTTTATCCACTTTCATAGACACATCGTCCTTTCAGATTCCTGTACTTACAGGGCTCCTGTCTTTGGCCTTCCAAAGAACCCAATTTATTAAGAGTCTGATTGGTTCACAAAGATTAATCTCCAAACAAAAAGGAGAATTTAGAGGAGAATGCTCAATGGGACTTTTGATGCAAAGCAAAGGAATGGTGAAATCTGTGCACAAACCCACATCATGATTCCTACATTATCACTGCACTGAAGACCGGAAATTGGGGGCTCATTCCACTCAAGTCCCAATGCCCAGCTGGGGTGTTGACATACAGGAAAAGCAACCAAGTTCAGCCTGAGCTGAAGCAGACACCACAATTGCAGACAGGATGGAAGGAAGCCATGGGTACAAACTACCATGCCTGGGGGCACAAATGGTGCTCTGTCATTGCATCCTGGGGCTGGAGGAAGGAAATTGGATTGTAAGGTTTGGTACACGAATTATGTCAGAGAAGAAAGAACAGAGATTTTGGTACAGAGTC